GAGAGAGGAGAGGTTCAGCCTGTGCATCAGAAAAGCACCATTTTCACCACAAGCTGATACAAGGACTGGTGCAGGTCACCCAATGAGGCTCTGCAGTCTCTACACATGGAGGTTTTCAAAATCCATCAGGAGCAAATGCTGAACAACTTGGTCTGTTCCTCTTTGTGATGGCTTGGACAGCACACATCCTCCAAATTCCCTTCCAGCCTGGCTTAGCTTGTGATATTACACCCTCATGGCCTATTGCTGATGGGCAGACAGCAGATCTTACAGGGCATGAAGCGTGCTGTGCTGCATGTGATCATCTAAAACAAAGTCTGAGAACATGAAAAGAGATCAGAACCACCGTGTGACTCAGTGCAAAGACTGAGAGATGTCATGAACAGCTCTGGGCAGGGAAATTCTGGGGGCACCAGGCTCCATGCAAGACACAAAAGGATCTTCTCTTCTTTGTGAAGCTGTAAGTCTGAACGATGTTCATTAATGCCAATGGAATTGAAAGAATGCTTTGAAGACAAAGATAGAAATCCATAAAAACATGCTAACACACTTCTCAACTTCTAATAATCTCGTGAGTCCTCGCTATTTTTAGGATGAAAACGCTTGTCTTTTGGTTTATTTTGTGTCTTTTTCTGTTTTTAGTTTTTCTTGAAGACAATGTTTTCCAGAAGTGTGTTAGCAGGACATGGATGACTTCAAGTATTTTTTCAGGTACATTCCCTGAGCTACTTGTTCCACACCAGCTCCATGCCTCACATCATGATCCATGGAATGTTAGAAATTCTTTCCAAATGTCTAATGTAAAACTCTCTTTATTATCATTTATCTTTGTTCTGTTATTCAGAAATGATGTAAGAAGTCTGTCTCCATAGCTAGAAGATGCAGAGAAGGCATCATGCAGAGTTGTGCCTCTGCATTTCAGATCCTCAGTACAGAAAGGTGACTGCAAGTGGGAGCTGATATAAATGTGTTAAAACATCACATCTTCAAATATTCTCATGTGCTATCTCTCTCTTTTTAAGCTGAAAACACTCATATTTGAGGGGATAGCGTCTTTTATTTATTTATTTGTTTGTTTGTTGGATTGTTTGTTTGTTTGTTTATTTTCCCTAAAGGGACAGTGTTTTCCAGAACTGTGTTTTCAGGACACAGATGCCTTCAGGCACAGGAACACAGACAGTGGTGCCAGTGCCAATGCCCTGTGACCAATGCCCAGCGTCCACCGCTGCTCTACCCTGCTGCGTATTTGATGTCCCTCATCCTGCAGGTGTCTCCAGCTCTCCTCAGTCAATGACCATGGTTCAAGGCAAGTTTTCATCAGGCCATCTAGACACATGCTTTTCCCACTGCTCTCCAGATTTCCCCATACCTTGCTTGTTCTTCACTCATATACCTCCCAAATATCTGGCTGACCTATCACACTCAGGGAGATTACTGGAATTTGCTCCATCTCTCTCAAGTCTGATGGACTCTTCTCAACTCCTTAACTCTGATTCTATCTATCCCTTCCAATCTCTATCTAACTTGTTTCTTGTACAAATATTCCTTGTGAAAGGCAAACCTCATTAGATGAAGTTTGGATAAGGCACGCAGTTGACCACTGTGTTTTATTGTTCTTTCAATTGCATCACATTTCCTTCTGTCTGCTTGGAAAAAAGAAAAAAAAAAAAAAAAAAATCTTTCATTACCCTTGTGCAGCTGGTTCTCTGTGGAAAACCAGTGGGAATTGGTGTAAAGGAGGTTTAACACTGAGCGCATGACTGCAGAGGAGAAGTGTGATGGGAGGAAAAGAGATGACAGTCCTATCGGGCCAATGGGAGGAGAAATGGTGTAGGGAAGTTGAGGAAAACATTTGTCCAAACAGTGACAGAGCAAAGCTCATTAGGGGACATCGTGGGTCAATATCAATAGCCAAGTGCTGGTTTAGATTATTGTTCAAACCTAACTGTAAATAAATAAATTGAATTCTTAAATGCCCATTGTTCTCTTCCTCTTCAAACTCTCTCCAGATACCAGTGTCCAGTTTGGTGTACAAGTTCTGAACAGCTGAAGAAGATGACAGGAAGGCACAAGGCACAGGAGGGCTCTTCAGGTTGTAATGGGCCCCACGGGGCATTTGCTGCTGAGCCCATCAACCTCCAGTGCACAGAGAAGATTGCATGAAGTGCTCAAGAAGACCAAGTCAGAAGGAACAGTGAAGTTTCTTGGAGTATTAATGGGCCCCACTGAGGGCCATTGACAAGCCAGCTTCCCCAGGGACTTGTTAGAGCAGATAATTGGAAGCCATGATTGCAGGCAGACCAAGGCACTGGGATGGTGGCTGTGATGCTGAGCAAAGCCTCCTTTGTCTTGTGAAGCAGAAAGGCCAAGGCCTGATCCCCAGAGCCTTGGCAGGGAGATCGTGTCCCTCCTGCTGGCTCAGGGCCCTTCCTGGGGCAGTGGGATGGAGGTTTGTCTGATGTCAAATGAAAGACCAGGGCACAGCAGTTCCCAGACTCTGCATGGGGTGCAGGGATGCCGTGAGGCCCAAGTGCCATGTGGGCAGTGTGTCTCATGCCAGGATGTGGGATGTGAGAAGGGCTCAATCTGGAGAAATAATTCAATCACAACAGAACTTTGAACTTCAGATCTCCCAGGCCCAAGGTAGAGGCACCATTTCCTCACTGGTAGCATTTGGTTCTGGGGATGCCGTGTTTGATGCTCACCCACATGCAGAGCTCCTGTCTGACTGCAACACCACTGTGCTCATATCAGCTGTGACAACACAGTGGAGCTGAAATCACTGAGCTTGTCTCTCCTTTACAGCACAGTGACTCTGACATCACTGCAATACTGACCACTGCCACAACTCAGTAATTCTGACATCACTGCTCTCCACACTACCGAGACAACACCGTGACTATGCTGTCACTGAACTCCTACCCACTGTGACAGCACAGTGATCCAACATCACCGTGCTTGTACCCACTGTCATGGAATCCTGGGACAACCCACAATGGGAAGGACCGATAGTGATCATCAGGTCCAACGTTTGGCTCCCCATGCCCATCATAAAAGCAGAGCATATGACTGAGTGTGTTGTCTTGTTACGGAGTTATCTAGATCAGTGTGTGTCTGTGACAGAGGGCAGAAAGCTTGCAGTCCCACTGGCCAAAAAATAAAGAAATTAAACTAAACTAAACTAAACTAAACTAAACTAAACTAAAACTATAATATAATATAATATAATGTAATATAATGCAATATAATGCAATATAATGCAATATAATGCAATATAATGCAATATAATGCAATATACTAATATATAAAGAAATAATAATAAAAATAATAAAAAACAGCGGCAAAGATCTAAGGAGGAAACTTATTTTTACTAAATATGATATTGGAACCTAAGATAACACAATGTTATAAAATAAAATTGGAATTTAGGGTAATAAATCAAATATAATGAGAGAGTGAGTTTCTGAAAACAACAGTCTTACATTGAACTGAAGGCACACGGCTGGGGCACGCAGCCACACACTGCCAGGCAGCGAGCAAGTGAGAGATCCCGGGACTTCCTCCCATGGCTTCTCTTCCCCTCTGAACTCAGAGTCCTCGGGAAAGGCAGTTCCTCTTCTTTCCTGAGAAACAGATATCCATAAAGTTGTCCATCCACAGAACTGGAGTATTAACTCTTTAATTCCCTGTGCTTTACATTATGTTATTATATGGAATACTGATAACAAGAGTCATAAAACCATGACAGCAGATGGGGCATTTGCAGCTTCGCTAGGCACACACAATTTTTTAGGACAAACAATGCTTCTGGAATCAGCCTGTCTACTGGTGATTAATTCATCTGACTTCAAAGCACGTTTTGCAGAGATGACCCTGTTGTCTATCAGGAGCTGTCAGCCCCGCAGCCCCAAGGGCATCTCCAGGGAGAGCAGTGAGGAAGAGAAAATGACATCCTCTGCTGCTGAGCTGGGGCGGGCTCCTGGGACACAGGGAGCTCCTACAAGTGGGCAGCGCTGCAGAGAGACAGCTGTGCCCAGGAGCAGCTCTTCTGCACAGCACAGCCTGCAGGTGACAGGAGGAGAGGAGAGAAAGGACAGAGAGCTTATAGGATGTGTACGGTGTGAGCAGGTGTTGAGCTCACTGCAGGAGCATTGCTCACAGCCTTTGACAAGGTAAGTCTCACTGCAGGCTTTGACGCTGCCGCCTGCCAGGCTCAGCACTCAGCACTCAGCACTCAGCACTCAGCACTCAGCACTCAGCACTCAGCGCTCAGCCTGCCTGGGGAGCTGCCCAGGCACTGCAGGGAGACGTGTGGGGAGAAAGAGTCCCATGGCAGGCCAGGGGCCTTCTGCTGCCACAGCTGCTGCCTGGGGCAAGGGGATCGCAGATACACTGCACTCCAGAGTGTTTGCAAAGGCACTTTTCAAGAAAAAAGACAGGGCAGGGATTTTCCATTTCCTGTTCTTAGGTAAAGGGAAAGAGTTGGTGGCAGAAATCTGAAAGAAACTGTGACATATGAGCGCATCTCTCAGAATCCTGAACTGTACATTTTTCAATCTGCACTTATATGAACAACCTCCTCATGTGCTTTCAACCTCTCTTCTCCCAAAGGACAGCACCAGCAAAATTGCCATAATTCTCTGCAGACATGAATAATGCACTTATCCTGCAAACCAGCAGCTTTCCCTAACAAAACTTTAAGAGCACTGAGGTAGGGAAGGGCACTGTGAGTGCAGATGGGGTAAAGATATGAGGCATGGAAATTGCTCATAGGAGGAAAATATCCAGGAGTCTGAGGTATGATTAGGAGATGAGAGGAAAGTAAGAGCTCCTTTATCTTCTACCTCTTAAGGGATGGTGAAGCTCAGGAAAATAAATTCAAGTTAAAGAGTTAAATGGACATTTTCCATAGAGGAAGACAATTCTTTTATAGTGTAGCAGGAGGAGCGTCTCTGAGAATGATCTTGACTCATCATTATCTTCTGCAGTCGGCACAGGACTCCATGCCCAGGAACTGCAGATGCCCAACAGCAGCTCCATCAGCGAGTTCCTCCTGCTGGCGTTGGCAGACACGCGGCAGCTGCAGCTCCTGCACTTCTGGCTCTTGCTGGGCATCTACCTGGCTGCCCTCCTGGGCAACGGCCTCATCAGCACAGCCGTAGCCTGCCACCACCGCCTGCACACTCCCATGGACTTCTTCCTCCTCAACCTCGCCCTTCTCGACCTGGGCTGCATCTCCACCACTCTGCCCAAAGCCATGGCCAATGCCCTCTGGGGCACCAGGCACATTTCCTAGTCAGGGTGTGTTGCCCAGGCTTTTCTGTTTGTCTTTCTCATGTCAGCAGAGTATTGCATTCTCACCATCATGTCCTATGACCGCTACGTTGCCATCTGCAAGCCGCTTCATTATGGGACCTTGATGGACAGCAGAGCTTGTGCCACCATGGCAGCAGCTGCCTGGGGCACTGGGGTTCTAAATGCTGTGCTGCACACTGCCAACACATTTTCTCAGCCACTGTACCGAGGCAATGCTGTGGATCAGTTGTTCTGTGAAATCCCCCAGATCCTCAAGCTCGCCTGCTCAGAATCAGACTACCTCAGGGAAACTGGATTTATTGTGTTTAGTGTTCTTGCCATATTTGTGTGTTTTGTGTTTATTGTTTTGTCCTATGTGCAGATCTTCAGGGCCGTGCTGAGGATGCCCTCTGAGCAGGGACGGCACAAAGCCTTCTCCACGTGCCTCCCTCACATGGCCGTTGTCTCCCTCTTTCTCAGCACTGTGATGCTTGCCTACCTGAGACCCCCCTCCATCTCCTCCCCTTTTATGGATCTGTTGGTGTCATTTCTGTGCTCAGTGGTGCCTCCAGCTGTGAACCCCCTCATCTACAGCATGAGGAACCAGGAGCTGAAAGATGCAGTGAGGAAAATGATGCCGTGGTCACATTTCACCAGGGATAAACTTCTTACCTGTCTATACAATTGACTCCCAGTCTGTCCCATAACACACCTACATTATGTTTTTTTTTATTGTTTATAATAATTAATTATATTAATAGCTACATTTTTCTTTGTGGTTCATATATATATGTGTGTGTATAATTCTCTTTAGTGGGGTTGTTACAATTCCTTTCACTTTTAGAGAGGCATCACCCTGCTCTCTTTCATCTGGAGCCCATAGGAACTCTGGGTCAGTGCTGACTCTCTCATAGCCTCTGTGTTCCATCACTGTATTTGCAGGCAAATGAGCTGCCAGCAGGCACCATGGAGCTGATATAGGCTTGATAAGCAAACAGGATCTATGCATTAGCCTAAGGACCAATATATTACATTAGCAAATGGAATCAGTGCGTGCTCATCTTAAATCTTCCCAGTTTAGCTTTGCTTCATGTGTGAACAGCCCTGTTTTTATCAACAATCCTGTTTCACAGAAGCACTGAAATCACAATGAACTGCTTTTTTTCTTTGCCTGCACGAGGTGCAAGGACTTGTTCTTGGGTTTGGTATCAACTGTTTGCAGTTGTAGTGCACCAAGAAAGAAAGTTGCTGATTCTGGCAAGACAAGCAATGGATATTTGCCATATTGAGGGAAAAGAGCGGAAAGGTGAGCCAAGGTACACTGTGATGAAGAGGAAGATGAAATAAAGGGGAGGAAGTAGGTGTTGTGAGAAGGAAGATATACGATATCAGGGGCTGTGCTGGGGGCCCATCTGTGTAGCACTGCACGCATGCTGCCCCACACAGTGCCTGCACTGAGCTGCCAGGGGCTGCCTGTGGGGCGGTGGGGCCAGGCTGTCCTGCAGAGGGGAAGGCACATGGAGCCTCATGCTGTGGGGCTGGGGCCTCAGAATCACCCTGGAACTCAGCACCCAGCTGTGCTGTGCTCACCTTGCCCGGCTCCCAGGTGTCCCCCGTGCTGCTCTGTCACTGTCCCTCCTCAACAGGACAGGGGAGGTAGCACAATTCAACAATTCCTGGGTTGAGGCACAAAGCGCTTTATTCTTTCCTTGCTTAAAACCCCATTACAACAAGTTGTGAGTGTTAATGGCTCCATATCAAATGCAGGTTTGTTTTGTTTTGGTTTGTTTTGTTTATTTTTTTTTCTGCACACTCTGGAATGGATATGGCATTCAGCGTCCCTTTCACCTTAATATATTATTGGCAACGACACCTAACCCACAACACATTTGACTGATATTCTATTTTATTTTATGGCTCATCTTCCTCTCTGACCATGAAATACCCAGGGATATGCAGCTCTTCTTCTCTTCTGATTACCAGGTATCTGTAAAGTTGCCGGTCCAGTGAACTGGAACATTAGCTCTTTAATTACCCATGCTTTACATGACATTATGATGTGTAATACCAATAAGAAAAGTATAAAACCATGAAATGGATGCAGCTAAAGTTTTGTGATCAATAGCTCTGTGTCACGGTGGAGGTGGTCACAAGCAGTGTCCCTCAGGGATCCGTCTTGTCTATGCTGCTCTTCATCATCTTCATCAGCAACGTAGATGATGGCATCAAGTGCACCCCCTTCAGGTTTGCTGATGACACCAAGCTGAGCAGTGCCGTCGATCCATTGGAGGGAAGGAAAGCCATCCAGAGGGACCTGGACAGGCTGGAGAAGTGGCCCCATGTGAAACTAATGAGGTTCATCAAGGCCAAACACAAGGTGATGAACTTGGCCCAGGACAATCCCAGGTGTTTATACAAACTGGGGGAGGATCTCCTTGAGAGCAGTCCTGTGGAGAAGGACTTTGGAGTCCTGGTGGATGAGAAGGTGGGCATGAGCCAGCAGTGTGCACTTGCAGCCCGGAAGGCCAACTGTGTTCTGGGCTGCATTAACAAAAGGAGTGGCCATCAGGGAGAGGGAGGTGATTGTCCCCCTCTACTCAGCTCTTGTGAGGCCCCATCTGCAGTACTACATCCAGGCCTGGGGCTACAGTACAGAAAGGACGTGGAGCTCTTGGAGCAGGTCCAGAGGAGGGCCACTAAGGTGATCAGAAGGCTGGGGCATCTCTCCTACGAGGAAAGGTTGAGGGAGCTGGGCTTGTTTAGCTTGGAGAAGAGAAGGCTGCAGGCAGACCTCATTGTGGCCTTTTTCAGTCAGAGGGTGAAACACAGGGATTGGTTGTCCAAGGAGGTTGTGGATGCCCCATCCCTGGAGGCATTCAAGGCCAGGCTGGATGTGACTCTGGACAGCTTGGTCTGGTGGTTGGTGACCCTGCCCATGGCAGTGGGGTTGAAGCAAGATGATCATTGTGGTCCTTTTCAACCCAGACTGATAGATGATTCAATGATTTGATGATAAACTGTGTGTAAACCCGGAGTAAACTGTGAGTACAATCAAAGTAGTGAGTCAGTAAACGTCAAGTAAGGTCTGAGTAAATCTGACATAAAGTGCAAGTAAGCCCAGAGTAAATTTTGTGTAAAGCTGAAGTCAAGTGTGAATAAACCTGACTGTTTGTAAACCTGCATACAAGAGTGAGCGATGCTGGAGTCAAGTGTGAGCAAACCTGGAGTCATGTGTGAGTAAACCCTGAGTAAAGCATGTGTAAACCCGGAGTAAAGCATAAGAACACCCGGAGTAGAGTGTGAAAAAAGAAAAATAGACTGAATAAGCCAGGAGAAAAGTGTGAGTAAATTGAAAACTGAGAGTAAACCCAGAGTAAAGAGTGAGTACATCTGGATTGAAATGTAAAATCTGGAGTAAAGTGTGAGTAAAATCCAAAGTAAGATGTGGGAACACACAGTATGAAGTGTGAGTACAGCCGGAGAACAGTGTGAGTAAATGTGGTGTAAAGTTAGAATAAGATCCAATGTAAGGTGTGAGAATACCCTGAGTAGTGTGTGAGTACATCCGGAGTAACGTGAGGAAATCCAAAGAAAAGTGTGAATAACCCTAAAGAAAAAAAAAAAAAACATAAAGTAAAAACCAGAGGAAAGTAAGAGTAAACCCGGAGTAAAGTATGAGTTTACACAGAGTAAAATCAGGGTAAACCCGGAATAATGTTTGAGTAAACCCAGAGAAGAGTGTGAGTAAACCTGAAGAAAAGTTTGAGGAAACCTGATGTGTGTGTACACTGAGAGTGGAGTGTGTGTGATTCTGAAGTAACTGAGTTAACACGAAATAAAGTGTGAGAAAAACCATACTGTGAATGCACCCAGTGCAGAGTGTGAGAAAAGCAGAACTAAAGTGTGAGTAATCACAAAGAAGAGTGTGAGTAAATCTGGAGAAAAGCATGAGTAGTCTGCACCGTCGGTACTAACTCTTTACTCCAGGTTTACTCTTACTTTTCTCTGGGTTTTAGTCACACTGTATGCTGGGTGTACTCACAATTTACTCTGGGTTTTACTCACACTTTATTCCAGGTTTCCTCAGACTTCAAGTTTACTCACACTTTTCTCCATGTTTACTCTTAGTTTTCTCACACCATACTCCAGGTGTTCTCTCATCTTCATGTTTTACTCACAATTTACTTACTGACACAAGAATTACTCATGCTTTATTCTTACTTTACTCCAGGTTTTACTCACACTGCACAACTGGTGTACTCACACTCTATTCAGAGAGTACTCACACCTTCCTTTAAGATTTATTCACACGTTACACCAGTTTTACTCACACTTTACTTCTGATTACCTGACACTTTACTCTGGGTTTATTGATACTTTACTCCTGCTTTACTCTGACTTTTCTCCAGGTTTGATTCAGACTCTACTCTGGGTGTATTCACAATCTTCTCCAGGTTTACTCACACATTACTCTCAGTTTACTCACGCTTTACCTCAGGCTTACTCATACTTTGCTGAGCACTTACACTTCACCCTGCATGTACTCACAACATACTCTGAGTTTAATCAACCTTTCCTTTGGGGTCACTCATACTTTACCTTGGCTTTTCCTTACCCTTTACGCTGGGTTTGCTTACACTCTACTCAAGGCCGAAGTACCGAGTACAGAAATGCCACTGTCAGATCCAGGGACCGGGAAGAGATGGAGGGGGGCTTCAGGTGGGCAAATACTACAGTGCAGAGAAACAGAGAGACCACGGCCAGGTGAGGGAGGCACGTGGAGAAGGCTTTGTGCCGTCCCTGCTCAGAGGGCATCCTCAGCACGGCCCTGAAGATCTGCACATAGGACAAAACAATGAATACAAAGCACCCAGATGCTAAAGAGGCACTGACCACAGGAAGCCAAATTTCTTTGAGGTAGGACTGTGAGCAGGAGAGCTTGAGAAACTGGGGGATTTCACAGAAGAACTGATTGATGGCACTGCCTTGGCAAAGAGGCAGTGAAAATGTATTGGCAGTGTGCAGCAGGGAATTAAGGACCCCAGTGCCCCAGGCAGCTGCTGCCATAGTAGCACAAGCTCTACTGTCCACCAAGGTCCCATAGTGCAGGGGCTTGCAGATGGCAATGTAGCAGTCATAAGACATGATGGTGAGAATGCAATATTCTGCTGAGATGAAGAAGAGAAAGAAAAAGACCTGAGCAGCGCATCC